AAGTACCCTAAGAAAGTTGAAAGCATCGCTAGTCATTGGGAGAACCAATAAGCTAGTAATTTTTTTAGGAGACGCGAGACGAATATCAAAATCGCCAGAAAGCTGACCACCAGGCGTTGTAGCATGAGGTGAAGCAAGAACGAGTGTTATTGCCTGTGTAGTTGGAGTATAAGTATAAATACCCTAGTAATCAGCTGTATCTTAGACGCTTGTAATTCTAGCTTCTCAGATCCCCGAGTTATGAACTTAGGCCAGAGAAATTTTGGCAGGCCTTCACGCGCTTACCATGCTTTCCCGAGGGATAGATTTCAGTGCGTTAGCACTTACTTGGACAGTGGTCCGGCTGGTCAAGCTGGGGTTCTTTCTGGGATTTTTTATCACTGTGTCTATTTCGAGTGCAAACCCTACATTTTAGACGAGCGAATTTGTGACAGTTTTGGAGGACAAATTGATAAAGGCCGAAAACCTTGTGAAGAAATAAACGTAACTTCCTTTTTCAAACGATGAAAACGAAATCGGCAGGTATGTGATCACAAGAAGATGAGTTTGTTAGCGCAGGAAGCGATGGATTAATACAAATGTAGAGAAAAGGGAATAATAGAGAATGAAAGCTGTTAAATTGAGAAATCTGGAAGACGAATTATCTTTAAGGAAAAGAAAAAGTTTGAAACTGAAGAGGAATGTTTCGATCCATCAATTGAAAGGAAGAGGCGGTGAGAAGGGAGGGAGAGGGGGGAGAGAATAGAAAATGAGAAATATGCGAAAAATAGGGTGGGAACTGAAAAAGACTGCATGTAATACACGCTCATCGGAATGATAAGTAACAGCCATTAGAAGGCCGAATCAGAAGTGGACTGTCCATGTGGAGCGACGGAAGTGGGTTAAATTGATAAATAATTTGCGGCCTTTGGTGGGCCGGACCGTAATTTCTGAAGTAAACGCAAGTCCAAACCGTAGAAAATATGGAGCGGCCGTAGTCCGTAGATCTTAGTGTAGAGTAGAATTATTATGCAGCTATGCAATGCAGAAAACGCAAATTGACGAGGGGTTGTCTGTGTGCATGTGTGTGTCTGTGCGTGCCTGTGTGTTCGTCTGTACCGACTTTTAATAGATTATGATGGAAAAGATAGTAGGCTGTTAACGTGGTAAGACTGCATCCTTTTTAATTTGGTTTTGTTAGAAATAAACCTCCATGGGCCACCACTTGCAAATGAATTTGGAAGGTAGTACGATCTTTTGCAGGATGAACATTTCCTGTGCTCAGTGATTTTGCAAATTCTAAAGATCGAAGAGAAAAATGGCGAGATTTACCCCAGGCACCATGATTTTTGATCTGGAAATTCATAATTTTTTCAGTTTTTCCGTTTTAATCGCTTAACAACAAGAAATTTCAGGA